TCATGCAACCAAAATTCAGATGCTTGGCAACTGGTTCATATTTATGTTATAAGGTGAAACCTTAACAATTATAACTTCAAATTTGGCATCTGGAAAGGGAATTACAGTGCTAATCACTTTTTAAGATACAGCTTAATTGCAGTTTGAGCATAGCTCTTCTAGAGATGTTGGCTCCAATGTAAATCCCATCAAGTTTCACTCCAAATAAAGGATTGCAGACTCACTAAATTCTCCAGTTGTACTAAGATTTCATGTGATTGGGATAGCTTAAGTCATACATGTCATTTGTGTATAATTGTTGTGGTTTGGAAAATGTACCTTAAAGTTCTAGATCAGAGCTGCAAAAAAATCCTGCAGAATCTTCTACAGTGGTACTCAACTCTGAAACTCATCAAATTTGGTACTCAGCACATTTTCATAATAACATTTTGTCCCAGTAGTTGTTTGTTGGTACTCAACGTACAATCTAGAACTTGTTGGTGATGGTTGCCTTGTGACGTGCTATCCTTTCGGCTATCCAGTCAAAACCAAGGGTGACACATTAGTCACATGGTAGCTCTTGCCCTATGTACATCCTCTTGCTGTCTTGTGCGGCCATTTTGTTTATTTTTGTGCTTTTTTTTCCTCATCAGTACAGGTAAAGTGAAGTTTTTATTTTGTTAGTACTCTGAAGTATTTATTAATTTGTACATTTATTTCTCATATAAAGTGATGATATACAATCCTATCTATTTACATATTGCCTTAAAAATGTGCATTGTCTTTTGTTTGGGAATGCATTAAATGTATTTACATTATTCTTTATGGAAAAAGATTGTTTGGTACTCATTGTTTTTGGAACTCATCGTGCCTCCCAGAACCAATTACCAATGAACACCAAGTTAGCACTGGATATCCCTTTGCTGCATCTAGTGGTTGCCTGGATTTTTGCTAGCCACATGTGGCAACTCTGTTTGTGACTTAGCTCAATGTGACCATTGAAACAACTTGTGATTTTGTCAGTAAAATATGGTTTAATGTATTAAGTGAGCCAAATAATGAATTTCTATGGCCAGTTTTTCAATCTGTTTTTAGTTAAGACTTTAATAATATAATTAAAAACATTGCCTCTAAGCCCACACAGAGTGCAGCATATTGTAATTTAAAAAAAAATGTGTTGTGTTTACAGAACCAGAATTGGGAAAGGATTTTTGCTTTAAGGACCTAGGTTTATTTATGTTTGATTTCTTAACAAAAAGACTATTAGGAGAATTTAGTAATTCAGCATTAAAAAATAATATCCCTTTGAGTCAAGCTTCAGCTGGCCTCGTGCAGCTTTCTTGGTAATGGAATGGGACCAAGCAATTTGTCATTCCCTTTCCAGTGTAATTTACAGCCCTTCTATAAATACTAAATGCTGGTTTCCTCATTTGTCCCAGTCACTCACCTCCATCATGGATACCTCTGCAAATTTTGTGCTTGTTTGTGTGGTTTACAGGAAAAAGGTTTAAAAGGGGGAGGATAAAAAAAAAGAAAGAAAACCTTATTTTTTTCCCCAACCCAAAAGAATGTGGGGAAAAAATTAAAAGTAAATGGGGTTGGGACACTTTCCATCCATCTCTCCTCTGAAAACTGAACAGAATTGGGTCATATTTGGTCTGAAGAAAAAAGGACCAAATGCTGTGAACTCTCAAGCTTCCTCCTTCCGTTTTATATTCAAGATGGACAGTGTTTAATATTTATATATGTATATGTAGGGGTGTAAGTCTATACATATGTTGTGTATAGTATGTATATGTTGTATATAGTATGTTTAGGTGTGTGTCATGTATGTGTTCACTTTGAGAGCAGGCAACGAAATTTTTGTTTTTTATATGTGTCGTGCCCACAGTAAAAAATGACAATAAAGGTTATCTTATCTTATCTTATCTGTATATGCCAGTGATGGCGAACCTTTTAGAGACCGAGTGCCCAAAAACTGGCCCCGCCCCTGCTACACCCCCTGCCCCGCCCCGCTACACCCCCTGCCCCGCTCCCACTCCGCCCCTGCCTGCCTGCAAGGCCACTCACCGCCTCCAGGGCCCGCCGCAAATCGCCCAGGCAGCCCAGCAGCGCCATGGCAGCCATGCCCTCTGCCCGCGCCCCGCAGCATCAACTGTGCGCGTTGGGGTGGGAGGGCAGAGTCTTGTCTACGCTGCCTGGCTGCCATGTCCTTGGCTGCGCTGCTCCGCATGGACCACGCTTGGGGGTGATTCTCCTCCAGAGGAGTTGCTGGTGAGGTCGCGGGCGGAGGCAAGGCTGGGGCAATGGCACATGTGCCCACAGAGAGGGCTCCGAGTGCCGCCTCTGGCACCCGTGCCATAGGTTCGCCACCACTGGTATATGCTATTGTACTCTTGGAGGAAAGATAGTATCTAAATCTAGAAAATACAATACATAAGCAAAATACTTTTTAACACAATATGCACTTTTCACCATCACTTCCCTTGGTCATTCACCATTTTTCTTTATTCCCCCTTTTAAAAGAGCACACATTGGCAATGTGTATGTTAGCAGAATGTGTAAAGACTGCATGCGTTGTCACAATATGCCAAGATGGGTGCTAACCTTAATTAGTTGGATGAGTGTGTATGTTTTTGTGACTTACTGTGTGAACAAAGCCTGTTTAATGCGTGAATCTAAAAAATGGATTAAGCAACAGGTTAAATGTATTATCTAATCAGAGCCATTTACTTTTGTCAGGCTACTTTGGGTTAAAATAGAGTACAAAATTAATATATTTCTATATGTCTGAGGAATCGGGATGTAGAAGCCACTACTTTGTTTTTATGTTGTCCTATTTCACTTCTAAATGAAAAGAATCAGGCTACCAGGGTTCAACAGTTAGCAGTTATTATTTAATAAGTTTAAGTCTTAAAAATACTATTAGAATTTATTGAGATCTTTATATATTTTGACCAAAGTGATTTATTGTAGATTGCTTAATCTTTGGCACCTATTTCCAGCTATATTATGTCTGTAGTGTAATAATATAATAATGGTAGATTTTTTTCCCATTGATGTTTTATATACATGCGTAGCTGCTTTGATTTAAGCTTGCATTTTTTTTTGTTCTTTGCAAATTTTATTTGTTTTATTTCTGTCTACTTTGCCTTGAGAGTATAAGACAGAGCACAACTTATTTTAGTGTACAAATGAGAGATTCAAAGGAAGAATAAAATTATCATGAAATTCACATATTTAGATTGTCAATTCCTAGGTTCTGGTGCACGTATTGAGTTTTACAAAACTTGGTTATGCTTTTTTTTCACCTGGTTTCTAGGATTAGAATCTTATTTTTTCTACGTACCCAAACCCATGCAACAGCCTTTCTTATTTATTGTGCACATGTTTTCAAGTGCCATTAAAACATGTACAATCTTAGAGCAAAAGAGAAAGGACCAACAACTCAAATAGAAAGAGGAGGCAGCTAAAATAAGTGGAAGCTCTGTTATGCTATCTTCTTGATTATGTTTATGGTTCTCAGGGAGTTCAATTTAATCCTTCAAAGGAAGGGGGGGGCTTTTAAAAAAAAAACCAAAGATTTCAGGAAATAGCAATTCACCTCTCATAGCACAGTCTATTGCTGCTTAAAGACAGTGTTTTAAAATGCAGATCCATACAAGCTATACATAATTTTTCAATGTAATTTTTATTTCCAGTTTCAAATTTTCTACAAGAAAACAATAAAAAAATAGAAAACTCTAGAAGTTGTCAAGCACCCCGATGTGCCAGGTCACTACAGAAACACAGCTCTGTTGCTGGATCGCTACGGAGATAAGATACTGGCATCAGGTAGCTTGCTACGGAAACATGAGAGGCCGAACCACCTGGATTTGATGAGACAAAGCCGCATCCCAGGTGCTTGGGCCTTTGGGCCAAGAATGGTTGGTGAAGCCTGCCCTGCCTCTAGGAGACATGGCAGGGTAATGGGGACAGGGCTCCTGGGTTATGAATAACTGGAGAATGCAATAGAGAATTTGGACAAGCTCAGCTTCTCCCACCACATCAACACTATGGTGAGAAAAGCTACAACTGCAGAAATGCTCCCCTTAAAAAAAAAGGAAAGAAAGAAAGAAAACTTCCAAGAACTACTACAGGAGTCTTGTCCCCATGAAGCCCAGCAACCCTCCACGTCCCAATAGTAGGATCCCCAAGGGGCCAGGACCTCAGACGGCGGCACCTAAAAGAAGCAGCATCAAGTTCAGAACTGAGGAGAAAACAAAGGGTTGAACTCTTAATACACCCCAGTGATATCACCCCCCCAAACCCTGTTTGACTAAATAGAACTGTTATGGCAGCCCTTTCAAATATCCAGTGCATGGAGAGCAGACAGGGACACCAGACCAGCAGCATATCCTTTAAACCTGTCCTCTTCATGTTGATGGGGAGTTTCTGCAAGGTGTTCATTGGGTTGTTTTTGTTTTTGCAATTGGGAGTCCCCAGTAAGCAGCTTTCTTGATTGTGCAGAGGATTATAATCCCATTCAGCAGAACTGCAATTTTCCCCATCAACTCAAGGCATGAATGGAATCTCCTCGCCATGCTTTCCCTCACCCTTAACCAATGCTCCACTGCAGCTATAGCTTTTATCTTCCAGGGTCAGTACTTGGTTGTGTTGTAGTTTTGTCTTTTTTTCCCTCCTGGAGCTCTTGTGCTGTTATTAGCTGCTTGGTAGGTAATACCTGTATCTTGCTATGTTTGTCTTGCTGCTGTTAAAAATAGAGAACTATTTCAAAAAATAGTCTTATTCCAAAACTTCTTGCAGATGGCTGCATGACCCTGTCATATGTGAGGTGACCACTCACAAATTGTCTCTGCAAATCTACGCTACACATGTAAACAGGTCTGAAACGGCTTTCACTGCCTTATAGAGCTTTTTCTTGAGGCAGACATTGGTCCATCTAGCCTCTTACTAGGTCAAGATCACAGGCAGGGACTTTTCCCGGCCCTGATATTTTTTTGTTTTGTTTTGAAGATAGAAAGCAAATATTGAATCTGGAACTTTAATGCATGCAAAGCATGTGTTCTACCACTATGCTATGGGCTCTGCAAAGCCCCTGCCTATGAACTTTGGGAAATATAGCTTTGTATGCATTCTTATTAATTATGGTTTTGTCACACAGTCAGCCAGATCTTTAGACTGGATTTGGCATTTTTATCTGCCCATCAAGTCCTTCCCAAAGAACTGGAATTATTATTATCCAATAGATAGAACAGAGCTACAATTCCCAGCTCCCTTGGTTGAGAGTCATCATGACAGCTAAACAGATTCGGAACTGGTTTATATATGCAGAATAGACTCAGGCTTGTACTGGCTCCAGCTGTAATTCCATGAGGCCTTGGCCTGTCTTTGAAGCCTCCTGATGTGGCCCTTTTTGGACCAGTGGGCCAGACAATTCCTTCTGAGGCCTTGGCTCCTCAGAGTCTTGTGATAGGTTCTCCCATCCTTGCTGATTCAGTGCAGCTTCAGAAGAAAGGCTGGCAATTATTGCTCCCTCAGAACTCTGTTTCCCCTGAGGCAACTTGAGACGGCGAGAGTCTTCCTGATCTTTAGAGGACCAGAAATTGTGTGACTTGGAAATCTCCCCCTTTGGGCTTGGGGATTCTGGTCCTTTCAGCTCAACTATTTCTTCCTCCAACTTCACTTGGGCTTTAGGAGCTGTGTGAGAGCAACGACGGGTACGAGCTTTCCTGCTGTGATGGACTTGAAGGTGTAATTCCATAAGCTCAGGAGCTGAGGTGGCAAAGGGGCAAAACTGGCAACGGTGGAGGGCTCCTCCTGCCAGGGCTGGACGTAGGGAAAGATCCAGTGGCTGGAAATCAGCCTTCCCGTTCAGCAGTGACTTGCGGCGGGACTGGCGGGACCGAGCTGTCCCCACACCACCTAGAGGAAGGAAGGACCCATGGCTCTTAGTGAGCTGTGTAGGGGGAAAGGCAGGGATTGCAGTAGGGGCCAGGGGCAAGTGGCACTGTTCCATTGTTGCTACAGCTGCAGCAGCTGCAGCAGCAGCAGCGCTCTTTTGCTCCCGGTGGTGGCGCTGCAGGTGATATTTGAGCGAACCAGATTGAGTGCCGGCATAGTCACAGTGAGGGCACTTGTATGGGCGCTCACCTATAGGGGGAAAAAAGGGGAGAAATCAATTGGCACAGCAATGATGTGTAATTATTTTTCTTTAGGGTGATTTTTTTTCTGGTTGGTTGCAACATATGGCTAGAATCCATTTAAGTGTCTGACTGATTCAGCTTTTCCAGTCTATGAAACAGGAATAAAAAATGTCATTTTTTTGACCATGAACAAAAACAGCTTCCTATATTACAACTTTCGGAGAGTGAATATCTTCTCTGTAATCTTCTCTGTAATAAGTCTTGCCATAAACCCTCTCTTTGCAATTAACTAAATGAGCAAAGGAAAGAAAAACAATCCATAGTGTGATATGTATATATGTGTATGTATGTATGTATGTATGTATGTATGTATGTATGTATATATGTGTATGTATTTATAGGTATAGGTGTGTAGGGGTGTGCGTATGTTGTTCAAATCAGAGCAGCATACTTGGGAATTATCTTTTCTCTTCATAACAGTATGTAAGGTAGGAAAGGGGGAGAGTGAAATACTGTCTTAAAATTACCTAGAGATTAAGAGGGATCCTGCCATGAGACAAGTGAGGACTATAGAAAGATGTAAACATCCTCACAGAAGTTTTCTTGCAAAACCTCTACTAGAATGAACAAGAGTATTTTGATACTGTACATTTCAGTTGGGTGATGCTCAGTGTAAAAAGACCCACAAACAAGGCAGCTTAACTTGCTGTCAGCATTTTTTATAGCTTGCCACTGCCTCTGGGCCCAGTATATACAACCATTGAGAGGGAAAGTACTAAAAAACTACTGCTTTCTGGCCTCAGTCTTATCACTGATTACATGCAGAGAGCACAAATAAACCTTTAACAACTGTGAAGAATCTCAGAGCAGGACTCAAGAATTCCAGTCCTTGGAGACAGCCCTGGTTATGTACCATACTAATGGAAGGAAGGGAGTTGTTCACCCAACTTGGACACTGAAATTTGTGATCTAAACCCAATGGTCTTCCTGTAGCATACCTTCAAAAGGATCAGTTTCAGAGACTTAACCAGAGATGGTTAAGTTGTAGAACTTTACCACCTACTTCCATACTTACGTACTCCATGTTGCCACTCCTGAGTCTTACCTGTGTGGACACGGAGGTGAACTTTGAGATGGTGGGAAGATCTGAAGGACTTCCCACAGAATGGACAGTCTTTCCCAGTGCTTCGTCGGGATCCATCCAAGTGTGACTGACCCTGTATTTCTGCAAAAGGCAAAGTGAAGACAAAGAGAATTTTTTAATATGAGCTGAAGATTGTTTGAAGGTTCTTATTTCTTTTCCATATTGTTTTCTCATAGTATTTTGCATTATTTGCTTGCTAGGACCAGATTCTTTTTCAAAAAAGCTTAGAAGCACAAATGCTACAAGTGTCTTATCATTTCAGTTCTTTAGCACAGCCAGCCTCTTTTAGACCAGAATTCCCCAACCTTTCCAGCTTTATGGATTTGGGGGGGGGGGATGGTTCCATGCGAGTGGCAGGCAAGAGCATGTGCACAGCTCCATTTGCATGAGCGGCGGGCATGCACGAATGCACTCCCCCTTCGCTTCCACGGCTGTTCCGAATGGCTCACTGCCTGGGGGTTAGGGACCCCTATTTTAGACCACTCTAGATTTAGATTTATATCTAAAATGATACAAATGATTGAACTATAATTTATATAAAGAAATATACCCAGTGTATTCAATATAGCTGCAGAACGTATGTTGTTCTAAGATTCCAATAAAGAAAATATTGAAATAAAATTGAAATTGAAATAAAAACACTATTAGCAAGAAACTGCCTTTCAGCAAGGTAACTGTCATTTAGGAAAAGAAAATGGGATGCAATAAAATCACAATAAAATGGGAACACTTTCTAGAGGCGGAAATACAGGAAAGAAAAATGTACAAACCAAAGATGTTGGCAATGCTGAGGACATCTGAGGTTGCTTGAGTTTGTCAAAGTCACATTTGATTGCATTTTAGTCCTTTTCTCTATTTTTTATTGTTATATGAACAAACTTTAAAATAAAAAAACTACAAAAATGTCCAAGTGCAGCTGAACTGTAAGAATTTATATTCTCATAGAACTACCTGTGTAGTATTGATTACAGAGGCAAGAGTTTTTTGTTTTTTTTAAAATGTTAACTGAAAATAGTGACATATCTCACAACTCTGGCACAATGGCAGAGGAACCTTGAAATGGAGGAAGCCTTTTTACCAAACTGTAACAAGAGGATTTAAAAAAAAAAAAAAAAAAACCACTTGGGAAAACCTCAAATGTGTAAGATCTATTTGTTTTTTTCACACCTGTATAAATCAGAGCCAGAAAAGGGGATGATGAGAGGAGAGTATTTTTTGTCACAAGATGGAATCATCTGACTACCTTAAAGCTTTTGTTTTTCCTTCCTCACAAAGTTGGAAGGAAGGATGAAGTGGTCCTTCCTAGTCATTCCAATCACTATTTTTAAGTATTGTGAAGATGTTTCCTTCTCTCTTTTGTGTAGAATGAAAGATACCAGCTAAAAGATAGGGGAAATAATCTTAAGGGAATTTGTGAACTTAAAAATCATAATGTCCCAAGTCTTTCAGGATAGTGAACATCATAGAAAATTTTGAGATAATATTATGCCCACCCTTGCAAAATAGCTATCAAGGGAGATAGCTTTGCAAAAGTAACTTATCTTTTTAGGGCTTTCTGAATTTTTACGTATCTTTCTCATTGATTGTTATAGGAGCTTCATGTGGGTCATACAGATATAGAAAGGAAATTTGATTTAATTAAATGGGGAGTTTCCCTTTCTTTTAGTTTCCAAACAAAGACAGCCATCTTTTTATTTTATTTTATTCAGTTCCCATATTGGAGGGCAAAAGGTGAAATACAAAAATTAAATGCATTATAAAATATGTTGTTAAAAAAAACCCACAAGGGAACCAATAAAATAAAAGCTCATGTTGTAAAATTTAAAACACAAAAAAAAAACCCTCGCAAAAATTGAAAACATTGCTAAGCATTTTCACAAAATGTACCGGCCTAAATCTTATTGAAAGAACAAACTGAGGTGCCATTGAAAATGTAATCATCCCCTCAGATTCAGTAACTAGTTGCATTTCCATTACCTGACTTAATTTTAGGCAAAATGTAATGTAATCATATCACTATGTAGGACAGACATGTCAAACTCGCGACGTCACATGATGTTGCGCAACGTATCCAAGCTTTTTCGCCATTGCCGGCAATGGGGTGGGCGCGGCTCCAGTATGATGAAACCGGCCCGCGGGCTGGCAGTTTGACACCCCTGATGTAGGATATCTGGCCATTCCAAGATAGAAAACTGCTTCAACTCAGGAATATTTTGTGGTTTTCTAGCAACAAACACTCATTTCTGATCCTGCCACATTTCTGTGCATAAAAATCCTGTTTTTATCCAGTGGTTTTCTAATCATGGAATCATAAACTCTTATCTTTAAACAAAACAAATTAGGCTGATAGATCCTTAGATATTGTTCTGGGGTTCTATGTGACTTCATTAACAATGTTATATTGAACTTGGGAGATTTGACAGAATGGTAATTCTAAGAAAAATTCATTCTTCACTACTTTTTTTCTTTCAAGAAGACACTGTCTTTGAGGATTATAGAACTCCAGAGCTTTTGCAATGGTTCTGCAACTTTTCCAGATTAAAGAACACTAATAATTCATTTATGTAGAACTTCAGAAATTTATTTTGAAGGAACCTAATATGACTTTAAATCTGTGCAGTGGGAACTTCAATATAATGAGGGGAGCCAAAGTTTGTGAGATTGTTATGGGACTAGGATGACAGCTCCAAACGTTCAAAGTGCAGGCCCTACTTATCCCAGTTCATAAAACATGGAAAGGACATTATTTTCCATACTGGCAGACCTCACCTTAGATGTTTTTGTTGATAAAATAAATGAACAACATGAAATTTCAGTTTTCTCAAAGTTCCTTTACATATTACTAGGATTTATATGAGTTCTGTTGAACATTCAGTAGTACAGATATGCAAATATTCAGAAAACCGTAAAGGGGGCAATTTTCACCCCTGACAATCAGCTTGTAAATGAGCAAATCTCTCCTTCAGCAGCTTCATCCAGCAGCAGAGATAAAAAAAATTCAAAAAAATCTGTCAAAATGTTTTTAATGTGCTTTTATACTGGTCTTGAAGTAAAGATGAAATGCACATATAATACAGACAGACGAGGGAGAGGACATTGCCCTGCATTTTTGTATTAATGTTTTGTTAAAGACAGCCTCAGGCGGAAAGAATACAGTTTACCAGACTATATCATGTCAAAGACTAATTCCTAATTATTGTGTCTAGTGTGAGAAATTCCAGCTCTTGCCACTTGAGGGCATAACATATCCACCATACAAAATGCCATGACCAAATTCTCTTGTAAGTAACCTAATGTGATTTCAACCTTATAGGTGTTTTTTTTTTTTCAAACAGGCAAATAGTATGAAAATTAGTCCATCTCTACACCACAGATTTAACCTCATTTAATAACAAATTATTTCTCATCAAGAAGACTCAGAACTGTAGGTGCTTGGTGCTCTCTGAAGTTGGCTGTTTTCTTGCAGATGTTTCATTACCCAAACTAGGTAATATCATCAGTGCTGATGATGTTACGTAGTTTGGTTAATGAAATGTCTGCAAGAAAACAACCAAGCTCGGGGAGCACTAAGGACCCATCATTTCAACCCTGAGCTACAAATATTCTCCTTTATTAGAACTGTAGGTCTCTGTGGAGCTTGGAAAGTCTTAGAAAATGTACAGCACTCTCACCAAGATGTATTCCTTGGATTTTCTAAGAAAACTCAGAATAATGAAATGAATGAAACTGGAATGCCTGTACGAAATAAAACATGTACTTAGAAGCAATGTTATATCATGCCATATTCATTTGCATAAATGTACCCTATGCTTTCACAACATACTTTGAATTTCCTTCATGCATAATTTGAATTGGGAGAGGCAGACAACATCTCTTTAACTAAACTTCTTATAACTAGGAAGCAAAGGCAATAATGTCAAAGCAGTAATGTGTTGAAGGAGAGGGAAAAGCAATGGAAGAGGCAATTTGAGAAGTACATCAGTCCGACTGAAATATTTCTTCTACCTGTGCAGAAGAGGGATATTTTATTTCCATGGCACATGTATTACCTGTTACATCCTATCAAACCAGTTGGCAGGCATGGAACATGGAAATCCAAATTTCGCTTACCCAGAGATCTTTACAGATTGGCATTTTCAGGAACAAATGACAGTGCTCTCAACTGAAACACTGAGGATTTTTACACTGGAGGTGTGAGGAAGTTTTGTCTCCCCTCCCAAATATCCTATGCCCAAACATACTTTCTGTTTGCCTTTGCGGTAATTTGGAAGGCACAGAAAATGGCTGCTTCCCAGCTAACTCTTGATCATGCAGTGTACAGGATGAGTAATCAGGAGAGCAGCTGGCTGGGTCAGCCACATTGTGCAAACATGTCTAATATCTTTATTTCTCACTTCATTGTTTGGGAAAAAAGGGATCTTGCTCAAAGACTTGTTTGTAGCATTTAAAGCACAAATCAGTTTAGATCTACAGGCACATGTGCCCTACAAAGTAGAAGTTTCTGCCATTATGATAATATAAACATTTCCAATGTGATTTTCCACCACTTTGAGACTGGAAACACAAAATAATATTCAGTGAGCTTTTAGTAACATAAGTTGCATGCAAAAGTTTATGCATTCCTAGTCAATAATTTACTTAGTGAACAGAAGATGATACAACTTCTACATGGAACAAAAGTTCTGCAAATCTGAATTCATGCTTACTAGTTATGTGCAGTTGCTTAAGAATAACCAGGAACATTTTAGTTTCAAACACCAAATCCTTTGTTATTTTATTATCATCAATTTTAAGCTCCAAAAAGTGATTGATTTGTTAGGCCTACAGTTACTCAAGAAAAGACAACACCATGGGTAAGCAAATACTCTAACCCAGTGGTGGCAAACCTATGGTACGGGTGCCAGAGGCAGCACTCAGAGCCCTCTCTGTGGGCATGTGCGCCATTGCCCCAGTCCTAGGCCTTCAGCTGGGTTTTATAAAACCTTTTCGCTTTAGGCCTCCACCGCCATGTACAAAAAAATTTTTTTAATCAATCAGTCAATTTCAACTTCTCACGGGGAAAAAAAAGATCTTGCAAAGTT